ATTTTTGAGGGACACAATTCAACCCATAACAGCTGTTGATTCCTATCATTGCTGTCTCTCTTCTCTAAGCATATTTTCATGGAATCCAGAAAAGTAAGCCACACAGAGAGAGACCTGAGTGATTATTGATAGTTTTTTGATGTTGAAATGTTAAGAAATACATCAGTATGTAAGTATTTGTTTCACTAATTTACAAAATACCTGCTGTTCTCTTACAAGAAAAAAATCATTCTCAATGCAAAGTTAAATGGAAACACATTTGAATTAGGTTTCAGATTATTAAAATATCATTCTCATTATTAAATTGTCTATGGACACTTATTTTCATTCAATCAGATAAGATTTAAACAGATTCACTGGTCTTGTGTCAAATCAGTTGCTTTTACGTATTTGCTTATATACTTGCTAATTGAAAGGTTTAGGAGTATATAATGAGTAACTCTACAAACTGGGATACCATTATTTTATATATGGACTCTGAGCAAATTTTCTAATACAGTGAAGGATCAGAGGATGAAGTGTTAAAATATTCATCGTTTAACCCCGTGCTTAGGAGTTAAACAATGAATACACTGAACTCAGGATACACTGAGGTGATGACCAAATTAATCTCAGATTTCTTTTTACAAAGCCCTCAGTTATATTTAGTATCTAACATTTGTGACATAAGACTTTCTAGGAAATACTTACAGATGGGAGCTGTAGGCAATTTTGAAAGCTGTATTATGTTTTGCTGATTATAAAAAAAAAAAACACCAACAACTGTATACTCACCACTCAGATACAGCCCTTCTATAGACTCTTTCCCCCTGTATATTTCTTAATATTAAGATTGCTAATGTTAAGTTCAGACTCATCGCTACACTGTATAGGGTTTCTGAGGAGCAAGCTGGTGAATTTGAACTGCTGACCTTGTGGTTCACAGTCCAATGCTGATCCTATAGTACTATACCAGGAGTGCTTATCTTAAAATATGTAATCCTTACTTACAGACATTATCAGTCTATGAATAAGATGAGACAGTATTGAGATTAATATCCAAATACCTTTATTTCTTTTTTGACTTTCAAATATTTACTCCTTTAAATTCTCAAAAAGAAATTTATGATTTTTTGTGAAATCACATCTAACCTCTTTTACTTTATGATTTCTGGCTTTGAAAGAGCATCTCCATCTCAAACACTTAATGATTCTACTTCACTGGTTGTAATTCATCTAGGATTTGTGGCACTGTGGGTTAATGCGCTGCACTGCAAGGTCAGTTTGAGCTGCAAGTTCAGCGGTTCAAATTCACTAGCCACTCCTTGGAAACCCTATACAAGGTCGCTATGAGTTGGAACCGACTCAAAGGCACTTAACAACAACAACAGCATAAAGTCTAAGAAAGAATGATAACATTATTTTTACTGATGATGAAGCACTTGTCTCAACAAAATTTACCGATTCTTTTATCCTTTTCCCCAGTCATTTAAATGACTTCTTTATTACATACCAGTTTGTACTTACACTTGAGTACACTGTTTGTTGTTGTTGTTTTTTTATTCCAAGAATCTCACTGTCCATCCCTGGGCTCATGTGATTCTCATTTAATCCCTATAGCTTTTTTAGTATTTTGTAACATTTCGTAAGATATGAGTCAACATTATTCTTTTAAGAAATAGCTCTTGGCTTTTAATTTCAGGGAAACAATTATTTCTATTTATTGCTTTTAAAATGAGACTTGTGATCATGTGAGTTTTAAAAAAAAGATAAATCAGCTGTTATATTAAAGCAGAAAAGACTAAATTTTTATTCCCTTCTCCCTCTTGGTTAATGGTCAGAGATTTGTCTATTTCATCTGTCAGTTCAAAGTACCAACACTGAGTAGGCTCTCGGTACATAGTGTTGAATAAATTACTTTGATGCTGCCACATTTATAAAGGTTTGTATGACAAAGTCAGCACTGTCAGAATCAAATTGCTAATACCGCATCTTCAATAAATAAGCTGCCTTTGAATTACTTATTAATGAGCAGGGAATTCCTGACTAGAGTTTTCTTCCAATCAAAGCTAAGCAAGCTCTGAAACCTGCCATTATATTTTAAAGACCACAACCTTTCTTTCAGGAGGACTGAGGAAAACAAATTTGACTTGTAATTCTTCGAGATATTTATTATCAAACCACCAAGGTCATTTGCTGAATACCCGGATAGTATCAGGAGCCTTGTTAAAAAGATATTACAGTGGTGTTCACTATGTTGAACCTTTAGCACTACTTTGAGTCTTTAATTAATTATGAGTGTATGTGAAAGGCCAATTTCAAAATAAACATTACTGGTTAGACAAAGGACACAGTGTAAGGGTAACTCTCACTCCCCTCATCCCCACCCATCACATTTCCCTGATCCTGTAAAAAGAGCTTGAATGAAAGCTAAGATTTCATTTCTTGTATCAGAAGTCTTAGGTCTGCTCCTGCCCTTATAAACTGAAGCATGTAATAAAATCTCAAGACCAAGATTTTATTGGGAGTGACTGGGGAGGAAGGAGAGAGTTGGGGAGGGATAGGGGATGACTGAGGGGGCAAGAGGGGGTAAGGACAGGGGGAGTGAATAACAGAACACAAAGCCAACACTTGGTCCATCCCAAGTTTAATTCATTTTCTATTAGAAAAGAGAATTTAACTAGAGTCCAACCATCATCTACTAACTCTGCCAGTGTCCGCTTCAGTCAGATTCCAGGTAAATTAAAGATTTAGAGACAAAAGTAAAATTATAAAAGAAGAAGATACTACAGGATTTATGATTTCAACACATATTCTCAGGGAAAGAAATTGCTGTTAGGTACTATTGAGTTGTTTTCCAATCTCATGTGACAAAGTTAAAATGTCCCATATGGTTTTCTACGTTGTAATCTTAAAAGGAGTCCT